AGGGGAGACAGTTTCTTTTACACTTTGTAGGTAGGATTCAAAATGATTTAAATTATATCTAGATTAGGTACTGTTTTCCCATAAAATAAAAACCAGGCCTACACATATTCCAGAAAAGTTTTACTAAATGTTCAAGAAACAGATTATTCCAAATGTCCAGAATGTTTTCCAAATAAATGAAAAGAAGGGAGTATCCTCCCAAAGGTAAATGTAGAATCAAAATCAAAGACTATACAGGAAAAAAAATCATAGGCCAGTATCACTCATAAACATAGATAAAAAAAATCACAACAAAGTTTTGACAGATTTAACAATGAATTTTTTAAAAAAGCATAGTATATACTTATCTTAGTAATGTAAGTTTGGCTCATCACAAATAAATAGAACCAAAAAAAAAGCCAAGATAATTTACCACATAAATTATAGGAGAAACACCTATAGATTATAGAAGAAACATCTCAATAGATAGAGAAAAGCATTTGATAAATTTCAATACTCATTTATGGTAAAAGTCTCTAGCAAACTCGGTATAGAAAATAAATTTCTTTATCTAATACAAGGGATCAAAAATCTATAATAAAAGCACATCCAAAGCTTTTCTTTGAAATCACATATGAGATGTATCTAAGGTAGGATATTCAAAGAATCAGTTCAAATGACAATTTCTCTGATACTAGCAGGTGAGACCCTTTGAGATGCTGTGGAAACTCTGAATCCTGTGTCTTCAAGGGCAGTTAAGCATTTGCCATGACCCATGAGGCAACCTGATATTTTAGTTTCCCAGAATGTTAGAGCCAGTAGTCTGAAACCTCGGTGTACCTTGGCCTAGTAGTCTGGGAGGCTTGATCGAGGTGACATGACTGTTTGCACATGGTGGGGGGAGGGAACTCATTTAAGTCTAAATCCTTTCCTCAAGGCCCCCTTAGATGTCACCTACCTGCTGTATAATACACTGCACTTCTACTCCACACATTTCCATTTAAGTAGCTCTGCTCCATACCGTATTTGCCCTGTCCTTGATCTTAACTATGGAGGTAGGTGACAATATTTGTGAACACTATTAGTCGTCACCCATGTTAGCCTATCTCTCAGAACACAGCTGATGAGCTGTCACTCAATAAGCCAATACACTGTTGACAGAGACCATTTAGTGAGTCGAAATGGAACTTGAAAATTAAATCATTTCACTGGGACTTGAAATCATTAAAAAAATAGTCATGTAGTCAGAGTGTTTTTTGGAGGAACTTTATTTTGGATTTGCAAAGGCTTTGAATTCTGTTTTGTTGCTGGTGCTAATTTTCATTTTCTTTTTCTTCCAGGATACATGAGAAATATTTGCTTATGTCTGGCCTTTGTCAACTGACCTTGAAAAACCACACGAGATGTTTTTCTTTCTTGCAGCTTTGTTCAGCCTCACTGTTTTTTACCTTGACTCCAACTGCCCACCCACTCAGCTGAGCGGCTGAGGATGACTGGTTTCTTCTCCCTGTCATTATTTATGCATATTTGTAGGCACAGATTACTGAACTCATATTTAATCTCTACTGCTAGTGAAATGTTGCATTATTTTTCTAATTGTTTTTGCCTCTTATTGGAAGTATAATTAGAGCCATGTTAGGACGCTAGAATAGCAGGGAGTCATTTGATTGTTTCAGGTTAGTGAGAACTGTGGGTGCTGCCTGCCTGTCTCTAAACAGCTAATTTTTTCTGCTTCTCAGATCAGGTTTGGGGAAGCTCTGGCACCTTTAGATTTGTATCCCTATTTTCTTAATTCAGGCTACAAATGTGAGCAAAAGAAAAATCCTTTATAAGCTTTTAAACAAATTTATAAATAAAATTTGAACTGCTTCTGTATAAATGATTTGTGTTTGTTTTCAATGAAAAGCTCTTGAGTTTTTCTCTCTTGTTTTTATATTCTTCTTTATAGTCCATAGAAATCAAATGTAGTACTATAATCACTACTGGATTTGGCTTTGGTTTTGACTTACTTATTAATACTGTTCCTCTAGTTTTTGAGAGTGGGACAGTTCATTTTCTGAAAGGTCATAAAAAATCAGCTGGACACAAATGTTGATACCACGTGTGGTTTGTAGGTGTTTTAGAAACTTGTCTTTCCTCATGCAACCTAGTTCCTATTACTAATTCAGTAGGCTTTCCTATTCTTTTATGACCCTGAACCAGTTTATAGACCCTGGTGTGGGAATTACTGGTTTTCCACACTGTATGGTCTGGCCACCCCTCTCCTCCCACATTATATAAGAGAAGCACTGCAGCATTGCATTTAGTCTTAGAATGAAAGTTGGAAGAGTAGATAATTTTTGGAACTGGACAAGAGCAGACAATATCATGCAACATTAAGAGCTCTCCTGTGTTACCAACTGCTGCATTGAAAGTGACTTTCCAAATGTGTATTTGGAGAAACACTGGGATTTCAGGTTCTTGGACCAGGACTGGTGGGGGAGGGCTCACAGAAGTGGGGTAGGGTGTGGTGCAGAAAGAGCTGCGCTGGGTGGTAGATGGTGGTTGAGAGCAGATGGTACTCAGTGTTCCTCTGGAGTCAATAATGCAGACACTCTTGGTTACCCTCTCCTCTGCCAGCCAAATCTACGTTAGTGCTGTTGACAGTAATATAAAATGTTCGGTCCATTTGAAATCTTTGTCACTGCCTAATATGGGGACAATGAAATCCCTCGGCCTGGCCTGGAAACACCGCCAAAGTGACTGTAAATGTGTGACTGTTGCAGGCGTTTTACTGCAGCCATTTCAGGCCTACACCTGCCAGCCTGGCTACCTCACAGTCCATGGTCATGCTCTGGTTCTTCTGTCTAGGCTTGGCATTTTCTCATTTGCTTCTGTTTTCCCATGTGTAGCCAGGACTCAATATAGGGTAAAGAGAGGCTTTCACACCAAAGTCCCCAAAAGGACTCTCAGGAAAATTGGTGTCAATTTCTCTTCTACTGCCTGCCATATCCTGCATTCCCAAAGATTTTGTTCAGGTATCTGGTCTTGTTAAAAAGTTATTGTGCAAGTATTGAAGATTGTGACTTTATGGCCAAAATTTTCTAGACTACACATAGGATCATAAACATCTTCCTTAGACAATTCTCTATGCGGGCAAAAGTAACCAGAAAAGAAGCAAGAGTTGCTCTGTAAGGGAGCCTACTGTTTTGTTTTTCACATTTAATCTGCTCTTGATTGGAACACAGTTTGACTTATGAGTAACCCTGGATGAGAATTCCAAAGTTCCAATCACCCTTTCTATGCTTTTACATTACATTTTCTGTAAAAGAGAATAAAAACGAGACAGACTGTTACAAAAGTAATAGGTATTTGTTACAGAAACTTTAGACATACAGATGAGTAAATTATAAAAAGAAAAAAAAAACTAGTGACTTTTTCGGGTTTAATTTGTTGATCTTCACAGCTTAATATTTTGGTATGCATCCATCAAGATATTATCAACATGTGTATCAAACTCCCTGTGATAAAAATCCTTACAGATACTTGTCTAATGACTGGATGAGGACAAACACTTTTAATTAGAACTGGTGATTTAAGGGAATCTACAGTTACTGGTATTTTAATATATGTAGTTAAATTACTTTCCCAAAAGTTGACTTCAATATCTATTGGCACCAAAAGTATGCTCTATACTCTCCTTAATCCTATTACTATTTTTTTAAAAAAATCTTTGCTTATAAGCTGAGTAAAAAATTTAATTTGGAGAGCTTAATCCCTCTTTTCTTTCTTTAGGTCTACTGGTCATTTTTTATCTTCTTGTGTGTGTGTATAGTTGATTTATAAAAGATCTCTCTGTGCTGAGGTATTATGTTGGAAATACCTAAATTTTTATAAATCTTTTATCATTATTTAATTTAGTATTGGAGTTTAAACATTTGTGTATGGGAACCTATTAATCTTTTTCCTTTGTGGCTTCTTCTTGGTGTTATGTTGATAGATTTTAAAGGCAGAAACCCACCCAATGACTCATCATAAGAAAATGCAGGACTTCTCCTGGGTATGGTTGTGAGTGATATGGGGCAGAAGATCTTATTCCATTCATAGCACAGACCTGAGCTCACAGATTTATGTATTTTTAACACTAAAGATATATTTCCTGTGGTCCCTAAACACTTTGTTAGCTTGAAAAAAATTAGATTCCTTCCACAGATTGATCTTGTTAAACATGATAAAATTCTCTAAGCTGTTTTTTAAACCTGAAATTTGTTTGTCTTTCAGAAAGTATCTATAGGAAATTACATTATATTAATAGTTTTAGTTTTGGTGTTGGACAGGGAGGCCTAGCATGCTGCGATTCATGGGGTCGCAAAGAGTCGGACACGACTGAGCGACTGAACTGAATAGTTTTAGTAAACATAGAAATATTTCCCTCTAAAATAAAGCAGTTGGCATTTGTAAAAATGAAAACTTCAAGTTAAATTCAAAGTTTTGATACCTCTGGCTGAAAATTTGTAATTGACTTTAGGAAACATAAATCATACAGACAGTGCCTACAGGCTTAATTTTAACTTCCAGAATATTCAACAGATGGGCTGTGATGAGCTGGACCTTTTCCTATGAAAGGGCATGTTTGGAGCTGTGGAGGCTGGAGGAGGTAATAGATACTGTGTTAGAACTGTTAATAGATAGAAGAAAATATTAAGAAGGCTGTGGGTCTTTTGCTTTTAACCCTATGAACTAATGCATATAGTAGGCAGCTCCGTACTGATGTCCAGGAAATGACTGGAGTAATGTATAATACACTTACATGAGCAAGAAAAAATATGCCTTTTAAGTTACTGTAAGGATTACAGAGAGAATAAGTAAACGTTAGGCATTCCTTTCAGGTAGAGACTGTCTGTGTCAGAACCCTTTTCTTTTTGGATAGTCCATTGTTTAACAGTGGCATTTAAAAAGGATCATAGGACGAGGATTTTTTTTTTTTTCTCACAGAATCATATACTCAAAGCTGAGGGTTTTTAAAGGCATACAAAGGCAAATGGAGGAAAACTTTTATTACCTGTATCACCATGTCATTGTGCCATCTGCTTGGGCAGAGGATACAGGGCAACCTGTGCTGTAACATTCACATCCCCTTGTAAGCTGATGACTTTCATCCCTCAGAGCTGCATGCCTGTGCGCCAGACTCCTGTCCTTCCCCGAAGAGCACTGCTACGGCCGAGCTGGAGAAACTGTTCACTCAGTCATCAGAGGGTGGCCATCTTATTCTCTATAAGATGTTACATGGTGATCAACACCGAATTATGAACTGATTCGAGTTTTTAACTTTTGCATTTTAGAAGCCAGAATGGTGCTAAAATGGAGCAGAAAGTACTAAAGTAATGAGACAGCAGAAACAGATGAGAGAGGAATCTTCGAAATGGGATACTGTGAATTAGGAAAAAATCAGAAATCAGAGTTTAAATACAATACTTATATTCTAGTCTGATTTGACTACGGCACCATGAAGACCCAAAGATAAATGGTACTGTTCCTGTCCTGAGGGAATGAAGTGGTGAGGACAGACAAGGTTATGTGACCATAGTAAATCCCCACATCTTAGTGAACTGGTAATATCTGTTTCTTGACTACATTATATTTGAAGCAGAGGTCAGCAGGAGGCTCTGCTCGCCTTTGTCCCTCAAGGAGCCAAGCTGATGAAGCTTCCATTTCCTCATGTAAGGGAACGAGACAGTGGCAGAGTCTTGCATGGATAATTAAATGCTTTCTCAGGAAATGGTGCATGCTATTACTGCTCATATGTTATTGGCGAGAACAAATCACATGACTATGCCCAACTTTTAAGGGAGTGGGAAATATAATTCTGCAATATTCCCAGAAGGAGGAAAGGAACAGGAACATTGTAAATAATTCTAATGACTACCCCTCAAAATGCACTGTAAGATTTGTGACCCTGTGGATTGTAGCCCACCAGGCTCCTTTGTCCATGAGATTCTCCAGGCAAGAATACTGGAGTGGGTTGCCATTTTCTTTTCCAGGGGATCTTCCCAACCCAGGGATTGAACCCAGGTCTCCAACACTGCAGGCAGACACTTTAACCTCTGAGCCACCAGGGAAGCCATAAAAACTTAAGACATACATATAAATGCAAAATGACAGCAGAAGCCTTGTCCAGTTCAAAATTGATTAAGGGACTACTATATGCCAAGCACTGTGCTGGGTATGGAAACTACAAAATGTACAAAGATACAGACACACACACACACAGAGAACTTAGAAAAAATGAGTTACAACTATGTAAAGCAATGAGGCAAGAAGTGTAAGACATGATGGATATCAGAGGGCTTTGTGTACCATATCGAGTAGTTCAGGCTTTTGAAGGGTTATGAGCAGGGGATGGACCTAATTCGACTTTGTTTTAAATAAATCATGAGAGATCTCATGGAAGATAGATTTGAGGGAGGCAAGACCAGAGGCAGAGCAATCAGTTAGAGTCCAAATGATCCATAATTAAAATCCTAAGTCAGAGCACTGACTAGAGATGGGGAGCACAGGATAGGCATCTGTAATTTTTAAAAAACCAGCACTTTGTGAGTGACTTGAATGTAGAAGGATAATGACAAGTGAGAGATGAGTTTTGTATCTGTAGCCTGGGTCTCTAGTTAAGGAGAGATGAAGATGGCAGAGTAAGAGGACATGGAGCTCATCTCCCACCCAAGAACATATTTCTAGCCTGGGTAAATGTGTTGGTAGTGATGTAACCACAGAGAGAAAATATGTGGTATTTCAGAAGATGGGGAGCCCTGATGTAGTCAATAAAGAGTTTTAAAGACTGTAGATTTAAACTTGGTGAGCTCAGGGACTTTGTCTTGTTTAGTGCTGTATTCCCAGTGCCTTGAAAGGTGCCTAGCACATAACAGGGAGAATATTTGGTAGATGAATGGATTTGATGGAGGAGTAGGATTTTTAGAGATTAAGAGAAATAAGTATCATGGGGGTTTGTGGAGGATTGGGTGCAGAGAGAGGGAGTAGGGGAGCTACCTTGGGGGTTCATACAGTTGTTGCTCAGTGTGAAAGGAAGTGGGAAGATCAGAATGAGGAGAGAAGAAAACTTCTCAAGAGAGTTTCTTTTGATATTTTGGGATGTCTCATAGCTAACTGACCAACCCCAGGTGTGGCAGTCAAAAGTTTGGAAAGATTCTTGGGACCAGGCTATCAGACTAAGCTAGTCAGTTCAGCCCCTGCCACTGGCAGCTGCTGGCACAATGCAGTGCTGGCTTTGTCTATTTGTAATTCAGCAAGGTTGCTGGTGATGCCAGTCTTTTAATGTCTACATACAGATCATTAGCCATGAGCTGAAGCATCTGGAAAAAGAAAGGAGGACTGCTGGGCTGCAGGAGACCTGAGAGTCTAGCTGTGTCAGCTGCTAATGTTGGACAAGTGTCTTAGCTCCATATCTACTTCACAGGATAGTCTCTGCACAACCTGGGTGGGCTCTTAAAAGGTACATAAGGGGATAAGGTGAGGGAATGGCAGGTGCTAAATTAGTGTTAACTATAAAGAGGCTTTCAAGGTTCAGTCTTTCAGTCTTCTTCCTCCCTTACTTTATCACCATTCTACAGGATACCCTTGACTTACAGACACCACGGACTCTTACAGGACTCGCGAGTCTTTCCCCCTCTCTCTCATCCAGGCATAACTCATTGCCAAGACTTAACCAATTCAACTTCCACCATGTCTCGAGCAATCACCCACTTTCAAATTATTGCCACACAGCTGACCTGGCCCCTCGGTGTGTTTTAAAGAGACCACTGTGACAGAGAACTGTCTGGTCCTCCTGTCTCCTGCACCTCACTTCCACTGTAGCATGGGAGCGGCGGGGGTCTTGGCGGGGGAAGCGACTGCATCCTTCTAGGATTTCTGGAGCCTGGCAGCGGCTTGCAAGTGCGCCGAAGTCGCTGGTTCTGAAGGATGACAGTGCCGGATTCTGGAGAAAACATGCACACGAGTCTCCTCAGCTACCTCACCTAGGCAGGTGGGGGCTCTCATACTCAGGCCGCCCTCCCTCTCTAGAGTCAGTGAGGACCACCCCGATGAGGCGACTAACCCCTGCCCCCACCCCGAGGGGACGGCCGCGCTTCCCTTACCTTCTCGACTCCTGAGAGAGCTTGCTCACCGGAAGCATCGTGGCCGTGGGGACTTGAGGGGCTCCTCGCTGGGAACTGAAGACAACGCCCTACTCGGCCTCAAGCCCCTCAGGACGGACGTGGAGCGCTCCCAGTCACCGCCCAGGGCCAGCCGGGACGTGCTCACGCACCAAAGTAACCTCCAGCCCCAAAGCCCACTTCGCGGAGGATTTCTCGCGAGACACATGCTGACTAGGCCTCGCGAGAGTGTCCGCTGTGTCCGAGGACCCTGGGGAGGGTCGGGGTCGCGAGACGCGAGAATCTGGCCCCGCGCAGAGAAAGAGCGGCCCGGTTAGCCTCAGGGTTGTGTCTGTCCTCTGACGTGGCCTAGGCCTTTCTGGTGGGACATCACTTCGACTCCATCCATCCATGGACTTCAGGGTAAAGTTAAAAATTGCAATAATCCAGCAATCCTGTTAGGAAGTATATATACCCAGAAAAAAACCGTAATTCAAAAAGATACACGCTCCCTCCACCGCCCCCTACCACCAATGCTAATTGCAGCACTCTTCAGGGTAGCCAGGGAACGGAAGCCACCTATATGTCCATCAAGAGGTGAACAGATAAAGACGTGGCACATATATACAGTGGAATATTCCTCAGCCATAAAAGGGAAAAAAGTTGGGTCATCTGAGGATGTGGATGGACCTAGAGTCTGTCGTACAGAGTGAAGTCAGAAAGATAACTAATGAGAACCTACTGCGTAGCACAAGGAACTGTACCTAATGATCTATGGTGGCCTAAATGGGAAGGAAATCCAAAACGAAAAAAAGGGGATGTATGTAAACATATAGCTGATTCACTTTTCTCTACTGCAGAAACCAACACAACATTGTAAAGCAACTATAATAAAGTTAATTAAAAAATACTCTTTATAGTGAAAAGTAAACATGAGAAAAGAATCAGAGTAATAGCTAGTTGCTTCAGTTGTGTCTGACTCTTTGCCACTGTTTTGACTGTAGCCCACCAGGCTCCTCTGTGCATGGGATTCTTGAGGCAAGAATACTGGAGTGGGTTGACATTCCTTCCTTCTCCAGGGGATCTTCCTGACCCAGGGATCAAACCCAGGTGTCCTGAGGCTCCTGCATTGCAGCAGATTCTTTGCTGGTGAGCCAGTAGGGAAGCCCTGTCAGAATCCCTATCAAAACTGAAAGACTCCTACCCCTAACCCTTTAACTCACCCCCTTTAATCGGTTTCTTAAAACACATGTATCTCAAATAACATGCTACTGTATTTTTCTGAAGAATATGTTTTTCCCCCATGTGGTCTTGCTGTGTTATTTTTTGAAGAAAATTACTTGAAATTTTCTTTAAAGTTGCATTTTAAGGCTAATAAATTTGAAATGAACCTTTAATTGAGCTTCTCTAAAGACCATACTATGTTGCAGAATGTACTGTCTCTAGCATACTTAATAGGATCAAAACAAATTCTAAGTGGATGATATTCTCAATTCTTATGTATTTTCAAGGCTACTTTTTGCCTCCATTTTGAGTGCATTTCTTCAGAGAGTATTTTTACAAGGCAAAGCTTGTCAAATTAGTTCTCTTTATTTTGCCAAGTTTATATTTTGCAAATTCCAGTTCTCAATTTTACTCTAGTCTGAAACAGAAAAAATAGGAGCTTTATTAAATAAAAGTGTCTGCAATTTGAGATATCCTGAAGTGCAGTTATATAATTTCAAAGTTAAATCTTGTGCATCATTTGATTTGTTCAGAACAAATCATTTAATTTGTTTAGTTCTTTTGTGGGGACAAATTTTAGTGTCTTGCTGTCTTTATACCTTGTTATCAATAATTGGAAGTCTGAAAAACTGAAACTTTTTGATTTTCCATTCATTGATGATGTTGATAAATTTTCTAAAACTTTTTGAAAAAATATGGACCAAATTTAGAAGGCTCACTTATAAAGAATTTAATACCATTGTCATGCACTTAGATTGATTTACAAAATATTTCTTCAAAGGCTTAAATATGTCTAAAATCCTACTTATGGCTGCCAGAAAGGAGAAAAACACATACTGCTTTGTATTCAAAATCAGATTTTTCACAAAAAAGTGTGGTTCAGTTATTCTTACTATGTATATTATATAATATTTATAAATTTCTAGAGCTACTGCTTCCGTTTGACAACTTGAGTGCAGGATAAATTATGTTGTACCACACCTAATTCCAAGCACATTTCTACTCCATAAATTTCTTTAGAAAGAACATGGTTTTGCCATGGCATTGTTCTCCATCAAAATCTGTATTTATATTATTATGTGAGGATAATGTTAGTGTGAACTTTTTAAACACTGAATTTACAGTAGCAGTGATTCATTTAACTGAGTTTATAATGGCATCTTGCTCTAGTAATGTCAAATGTTTTACTCTCAACAGGGTGAAATTCCAAATGTTTTACTTTGGTACTGTGAATTCCATTTGAAAATTAAATCATTATTAAAAAACAGTCATTTTCCAGTATATAGTGTTTGATTGTTGTTTAGTTGCTAAGTTGTGTCTGACTCTTTGATCACCCTGTGCACTGTAGCCCATCAGGCTCCTCTGTCCATGGGATGTTCCAGGCAAGAATACTGGAGTGGGTTGCCATTTCCTTCTCTAGGGGATTTTCCCAACCCAGGGATGGAACCCTGGTCTCCTGCACTGGCAGGCAGATTCTTTATCACTGAGCCACCTGGGAAGCCCCATAGCATCTGATTATACTCATGTAAAAATGACATCATTTAATTGTTTGAAACATTTTTCTGCATTGGAGCCAGAGCATTAATAGTTACCTTCACTTTAGGTATGTGCATGAGAAAAATGGAAGAAAGTTAATGTTAGAGAGTTAATGTAGAGGAGCAGTTATTTCACCTAAAATTCTTGTTTTGCTGCATACATTGCCCAACTGTATATGTTGGGTCATTGTCTTCAGGCAAAATCTTTGGGAGTTGATATTGATGCCTTAGCATATTTGCACCTTCTGATTTTTGTGGGATCAATGGTATCATATAATCCCCATGGGAGGTGGTCAGTTTTGATAAATATTTTGAAATTTATAAGTTTGTCATCAACTTTCTCATGAATGAAGTATTTGATTTTTGATTAAGCAATCCTTTTCATTTTTTGAGCCCATTAATAGCAACATATTTTTTGCCAATTTTAAAAGTATTACCATGTAAACACATAATAGTTGTGGATTTATGCAGGGTATCATTAATGTTATTGATAAAAACACCATAGCAAGAGCAGTTAGAGTCCTTTCTGTTTTCTCTGTGACAGAGGACCACTCAGTCTTTATTTTCCATAAATATTTCACATACACCTGGCCTTGTTTTCCACTGACTGCACAAATGGTCGCCTGCTGACAGCTGGCATCTCTCAAATTCAGACAAAGGTCACCTCACAACTGGCTGGTGTCCCATGGGGCCAGGGGAGGCAGCAACATCAATTATTTCTCCATTTCCTAGATGAGAAGGAGCTGTTCCTATCTGCCAGTTCCCTAACACACTTTCTGTTGTTGTTGTTAAGTGAACACCTCATAAGCTGTCCTGGAAAGAGAAATGTTAAGCTGTATGGCAGGTTGTATTATACAGAAGCAGCTGCTGAGAGGAAGTTTGGGGCTCAAGATGTTTATTTGGGAACAGCACCCATGAGAGGACGAGGGGAAAGCAGGACTCGGTAGAGGGAGCTGTCCAGCTGGGATGCAGGCTTGCCAAGGCCTTGGACCACCTGATTGGGAGTTCTGGAACAAGTGTGGCCCATCAGAGTGTCCCCTATTGGGTCCAAGTGGGCTGGATATTTATATGCACACCTCACCTGGTCAGACTTCCCTGGCGGCTCTGATGGTAAAGAATCTGTCTTCAATGCAAGAGACCTGGGTTCGATCCGTGGGTTGGGAACATCCCCTGGAGAAAGGAACGGCTACCCACTCCAGCTTTCTTGCCTGGAGAATCCCATGGACAGAGGAACCTGGCAGGCTACAGTCCATGGGGTCACAAAGAGTCAGACAAGACTGAGCAACTAAACTCACCTGGTCACTAGATCACCTGGTCACCAGGTCTGGGCTGTCCTAGAAGGGGCATGACGTTTGCTGGGGCCACTCTCTGCAGTTGAGGCACACCCCGAAGAGGGTGACAGCTCGAGGCCACCTTGCTCACTGCAGTGCCCACAGCTGGGCAACAAGCCCTTCTTTGAAGAGGCATCCAGGCATCACTTTGTCCACCAGATGTTGTGTCTGAATAAGATCGGGCAAAGTGAGATAGGTTATATCAGCATCCTTTGATCTCATCGGAGTGAGAACACTCTATCTATATCTCATACACTACTGGACAAGTCCATGGTAGGATGTGAAAGCACCAGATGGTGATTGCCAGAGGCCATGGCCTGCTGAGATGGAGATCAGTGTGCCGCAGCTTGTGAGAGAGTGTTCTTGGGATTCATAGCTCCGGCTAAAAGACAGAAGGATTAGGCAGAGGAGAAGCTGGCTTGGGAGATAGCTTCAGCATAGACCAGCCCCATAAGGAGCTCTGAAGTTAGTGGAGGGGACCAGACATTTATACTTTCACATAAATCAGCCACTGGGCATAAGTGTCCTGGGCTCAGTGGTTCAGTGGTAAAAAATCAGCCTGCAATGCAGGAGCCACAGGAGATGCAGGTTCAATCCCTGGGTTGGGAAGATCCCCTGGAGGTGGGCATGGCAATTCACACCAGTATTCTTGCCTGGAGAATCGCATGGACAGAGGAGCCTGGTAGGCTACAGTCCGTAGAGTTGCACAGAGTCAGATACGACTGAAACAACTTAGCACACCCAGGAATTCTGAGGGACACATTAGAGCATCTCACTGCAAGTGTACTGAGCCCTGGCTGACTTTAATGCGAATAATAATTAGAGTGATACTACTACTACCACTAGTAACTCTTTGCGACCCCATGGCCTATACGGTCCACGGAATTCTCCAGGCCAGAGTACTGGAGCCTTTTCCTTCTCCTGGGGATCTTCCCAACCCAGGGATCAAACCCAAGTCTCCCACATTGCAGGCGGATTCTTTACAGCTGAGCCACAGGGGAAGCCCAATAATAATAATAATAATAATAATACTTTGTTAAAAAAAGTCCTGAACCAATGCTGAAAGAGATAAACCTGACATAATAGATATAA